AGCTGGCGGAGCACGAGTGAGCGTGGACGGGCGCCTGCAATGACCGCAGGCGAATGGGGCAGGCTCAGGCCCAGGCCCGCAGAACTTGTGCCCCAAGCGCCGGACGCCGAGACTTTGCCTTCGGTTCCCGGCGAGGTTCGAGGCTCGGCCCCGGAGCCAGCCTGCGCCCCCTGGTGAACTCACGCGAGGGTGCCGCGGACGCTCACACTCCGCCCGCCACTGCGGGTGAGGGGTGCACAGGACCCCAGGAGCCTGGCCGGCCGAGGACTGCAAGAGCCGGTCCAGACTGCAGCCGGTGGGGAGGGTCCCATCCTGGGACCGCGCAGGGCCACAAGACTCGGTGCAGCCCTCCCCACTTCCGGAGGAGGAAAGGGATACCTGGCGGATGGGGGTCCTCCAGCACCCCTTGACTCTTCTCTCTCTCTTTTTTGGGGGGAGAAACCTCGGAATTTCTATGAGAGCCCTTCCGAGGGAGGGGGTCAGTTGGGCCCCCATCCCTCCCTCCGCCACACCCCAGTCCCTGTTGGAATAAAAAAAGAACAAAACCCCAATCCCGGGGGGTACCGGGTGTCATTTCCTGAGGGTGCCAGGGCAGGTCCGGCCTCTGGGAGGCCGGTGGAGCATGCGCAACGGTGTCGGTCACCCCCGCAGTCTGCGCCCTCTGCCCGGAGGTCAGCCCAGGTGGCTGCACCTGGCCCTCCCCGGTGACCTTGGCTCCGGACGCAAGGAGGCCACGGCCAAGACCGCAAAACAGTTGGAAAGACGCGGAGACACACGGACGTGGAGATCAGCTCGGCCTGGGGAGGGGGACTAGGGAGCCGGCGCTGGTGGCGCGTGTTCCTGGGCTGGAGTGATCCGGCGAGTGGGTGTGGGTGTGCAAGGCCCCCCTCAGCCGCCAGTGACTGTGACCCTGTGTTCCAGCTGAGGTTGTCGCCTCCCCCACACCCCTGAGAGGAAGTGAGGAATCCCAGTGGAGGTGGGAGCTGGGAGGAAGGTGCGACCGTCTGCCTGCTGGCCCCGCCCTGCCGCCCCGCGGGAGGTTTTTGTGGAAACTGCGGCTGGGAGAGGACGAGTGAAGGTCACCGAGAGCCAGAGCGAGACCGAGGAGAAGGAGGCAGAGAGGAGGATGGGGCGCCGTGGAGGAGGGACAGATGGGGCAGGGACGGGAGAGACAATGGTAGGGGCAGAGAGATGCGGGCGGTTGGGGCGGGGGTGGGGGGGAACCTCGAGGAAGAGAGAGAGGCCCAGGGGTGCGACAGAGACCGAATGAGTAGGGCAGGAAATCAAGCAAAGTCACTGCAAGGGAGTCATTCCAGACTCACGGCGACCCTATAGTGATGTGAGCCGAAAAGGGTGAGATTAAAATAGAGCTGGTCCAGAGTGAGGGGGCGAGACCCCAAGCCTTAGAAAACTAGGTGGAGTCTGGAGGGGGCCCGGAGGCAGCGCGGGGAGCTGTCCGTTCAGCACCGGCCAGCGGGGCCGCGCGGTGACAGCCCTGCGCTGCGTCCCCCTCGCTCCAGGGTCTTGCTCCGCAGTCCTCGGGCCCAGACCCCTCCGGGCCCACGACAGGCCTCTTCACCCAGCGCCGGAGAGTCCACCTGGGCCTTGGACACGTGCTGTGGTTGCCCCTCAGGGAGCCTTGGGCATCTCTGCCCCCACAGACATGCTAACCAGTGACCCTGCCCTTGGGCTGGACTCTGCCAGAGTGATTAGAAAGTGACCGCAGAGACATTCCGGGTCTGTGTCCGTCCCGACACCACGTGGCCCACCAATCTCACCCCCTTTCTGCCTGTCCTACCCCCACTTCTGCTCCAGTCTCTCTCCCTAGTCACCCCAATTGGTCTGTGCGTGGCTCTGTGGGGCCCCTGGGTCTCTCAGTCACCTTCACCAAGTACTTCTGTGGCTACTGCCTCTGCTTTTGCCAGGCCCTCTGTCTTTGTCTGTCTGTACCTGCCTCTTTGTGTGTGTGTGTGTGTGTGTGTGTGTGTGTGTGTGTGTGTGTGTCCCTGCTTCCCCTCAGGTCTCTCCTTCTGCCTCTCGCTCTGAGCTCCCCTGTCCCCTCCATCCCTCTGACCTTCCCAAGTCTTCCCTCCCTCTCTGCCACTTCCGCAGGGCCCTGCTGGGAGCTGGGTGCTCAGTCATCACCAGCCTCGGGTGTGAGGAGGGAGTGCCTGGGAGTGCCTGGGGAAGTGGGGTGGGCAGGGGGGGCAGCTGAGGGAGCAGTGTCTCCAGGGGGTCCAGACCCCTCCCCTGGCTTTCTGTTCCCCTAATGCCCGCCCCTCTGGCCCAGGCCCCTCCCTCCAGGCCAAGGTGTTGGGAGAGGGAAGGGATGATTTGTTGACAAACTCTCCCTTCCCTGGGGTGGGGGGCAATGCACCTGGGTTAAAAGATGAGGCTCCTCCCCTTCCCCCAATCTCCATGGCAACAGGCCCTGTGCAGACTCAGCCTCCTTTGCTGCACGGTCTGGCCTCCTTGTTACCATGGCAACAAGGGACAGCGGGGAGGGATGGGGACAGTCAGAATACAGGCTGGAGAGGAGGCTCTGGGGGAAGCTTCCCCGGGTTCCCCACCTACCCAAGGCTCCCTGCTCCTCTCTGTGGCTCATGGTCAACCTCTCACGCATTTCCCTGGCCAGATTCCTCTCTTCCCCCACCCTGCCTGCCTATGTCCCCCACCTCTTCAAACCCACAGATGAGCGGAGCACCCACCACCCACGGCTTGAGGTGGCTACAGGGACAGCTTTTCTCTCTCCATCTTCCACTGTCTCACGGGAGTGTCCTTCATGGAACAAGCTGATGTTGGGGTGTGGATGGGAGTGCCCAACTCCTGAGGCGCTGGCAGGGTGGCTGGCTGAGGGGGGTGTAGATGGGGAGGCCTAGGGTGCGGTGTCCGCTGTCACTGTGTGTGTGCCCACAATTACCCCATGGGTTCGTGGAGCCCTGGGTGTGGATGGAGGTGCAAGAAGGGGTATGTGACAGTGTGGCAGCATGTACCCTGTGGGGGGGGTGTGTGCGTGGGCTGCTGTCGTGTGATTTGTGTTGGTGAATGGCTAGGGGCTGTGTGAGTCTGTACACCTTCAGGCTTGTGCAAGGGCAGTGAGGCCTGTGTGGGCGAGAGTGTGTTGGCGAATGGGTGTCTCCTGGGTGTGTGGTGGGCTGGGCTTTGTGTGAGACTGTGAGGTCATTTGGGGTGGTGAGGGGATGTGCCTACCCTATGTCCCCGTTGATGGCTGAGTGTGGGCCTACGGTAGCTTGTGAGGGGTTGTGCAAGGTGTGTGTTCCTTGTGCTTCACGATTGCATGCTTTGGAGTCTCTGGGGTTGTGAGATGGAAAAGTGTGTGTGTGTGTGTGTGTGTGTGTGTGTGTGTGTGTGTGTGTGTGTGTGTGTAATGGAATGTGACTGTGGACTGTGGCAATATACCCTGCATTTCCTGGGCCTCACAGTGGGACCCTCCCTGTGCAGCCGGGTGACCCGGCAATAGTGTATGGAGAGGGAGACTTCTCCCCTCTGTAGGTGCCATCCTCATTTGGGGGGGTCCTCATTGCTTTTTGGGGTGCCCCTTTACTCCTGGACAACATCCCCACAGTCTCCAGGGCCCCCTGCCTCCCTTCGAGGGTTCCCTAGGTCCCTTTCCTTATGACTGGGCTCCCCCCTAACCCTCCCCAGACTTCTCTTGCCCTGCTGGCACCCCACCACCCACCAGTGAGGGGATTTCCGGAGCGCCTCCTCTTTCAGCGTTCATCCACCTCAGAGACTTCACCCTGCACTGCGGGGTCTTGGGAGGGGGTGTTCCCCTTTGCGGGGTCTCGGGAATTCCCGCCCCCGCAGCGCTCCCCTTCTCCGCGGCACCGCGCGCCACTTTGCAGAGACTGGGGGGTGGGGGGGTGGGGGACGGTTGCAGTACCGGGGGCGGGGCTGCCGGCTATCTATCAACGCGGTGGCGCCGCCGATTGGCCGCGCCCGGCCCCCCCGCGGGCCCGGGCATATGAAGAGGCTGAGGCGGCGGCCACTGCAGCCTCTGTGCGGAGGGACTGACGGACTGACCGAGGCGCGGGTGCTGCAGAGGTCCCCCAGCCAGAGCCCGCGCCTGAGGCCCCTGCCCCAGCTCCCCACCCGCCCGCCCCTCTCCCCGCGGAGCCGCCAAGATGGGGGTAGGTGCTCGGCAGCCAAGCAGGGCGTGTAGGTGGCATTGTGCGTGCGGGGGCATGGGGTGTCTGTGCAAGCCAGGCCAGCTCCGCAGGGCCTCCCAGCCCGCAGATGGATCCTCTGCGTGGCCGGGAGGCGGGTGGGCGCTGATGCATATGTTGGCGGGGGTCTTTGTGTGTATGGGGATTCCTGGGAGGAGCATGACCCAGCCCAGAGCCCCTCTGCCTGCCCCGATGTCCTCAGCCGTTTGTGCATGCGTGTGCGCGTGGGCCCTATCGCACACCCTGCCTGCAGCTGCCAGTCGGATCTGGGTGTGAATGCCAGCGTGTGTGTGTGTGTGTGTGTGTGTGTGTGTGTGTATCTGCCGGTGGCCAGAGCAGGAATGGACACACAGGTGACCTCTCTGTCTCCTCCAGGCCTGGGTGAGGGGCTCTGCGGTCTGCGGCAGCCCCCAGTCCAGGGTGGCAGATGTGTGTGCATAGGAGTGGACTTAGGGCTGGGGAGTGGGGGTGGAGCATGCATGCCTGGTGGTGCCCTTGTCTCCCTGTCCGTGTGTCCTTGTCTGTCTGTGGGTCTCTCCAGCAGATGCTGCCTCCTTCCCCACGGACCACCTGACCCCTGCCACAGCCCTGGATTGCTCCCTCTGTGTCGGGGGGACATGGGCACAGGGACGAGATGGGGGTGGTGCTGGGGGAGCCGGGGGAAGAGGGAGGGGAGGAAGATGGCGGAAGGAGGGTGGATGGGCCTAGGGATGGAAGGGATGGGGCTGCAGATCTGTGCACCAGGGTGCACGAGGGGGCTGGGAAGGAGAATTGGGGAGGGAAGGATGTGGGGGTCAGGTCAGTGAGGGCTCCCAGGTAAGTGGAGGAGGGGAAGCTGGGGCAGAGGGCTGAAGCCAGGCCCCTTAAAGAAACAAGGGAAAAAATTGAGGCCCAGAGAAGAAACTGGGTGCTCTAGACGTGAAAGCCAGAGACACACAGACAGATAGACAGACAGACGGACATGGAGAGGTCCTGAAGGAGACATTGACAGGCAGAAACTCAGACATGGAGAGAGAGAGAGACCGAGGCCAAGGGAAAGAGACAGGACAGATTTTCTACCCAGAGACACCCAAACTCAGCCTGATGGTGGGGGCGGAGGGGGGGGGCAGTGGGAGCCGTGCTCAGACAGCCTGAGAGGGAGGGGGAGGGGAGGTGCAGAGGCTGCCTGAATGCAGGAGCAGGGAGGGCCCAGAGGCAGGAGACAGCAAGACAGGCATGTCCCCTGCACCACAGGACACCCATCTGCCCCCAGCCTAGCTGGGGAAGCCTGCACTCCCCACTGGCCAGATGGAAGCCTGTCCCCAGGGGGTCTGATCATGGCAAGGGCAAGCAGGACCCGCCAGACAAGGGTGTCCCTGCCCCTCCTCCCTCAGACCCAGGAGGCCAGCTGTCCAGTCCCCTTCTCCCTCAGACCCAGGAGTCAAACCTCCTCTCTTTTCTCTGATAGGGGCTAGAGTTGTCCCCCACACACACACACACACTCCTGTCAGACCCCCTCTTGTACCCCCCACTTCCCAGTCTTGACCTCAGCACTCTCTACCTCCACATCCCCTGCCCTCCCAGGTCTGCTCTTCTGCAGAGGGGAGCCTCCCTGTGCCCGGCCTGGCTGGTCTGAGACGCAGTACTGCTGCAGGGTTGGCCCCGGGCCAGGCCTCCTGCCCACCCTGCACCCCTCCTCTGGCTTTCGGGGCCACCCTGCCGCAGCCCTGTCCTGTGCCCACCTGCTCTGCCCCTGGACCTGGGGGCTGGCAGCAGGCAGCTCAGCCCCTCCAGGCCTGCGACAAGGTCACAAGAGGATTAGTGCTGAGCCGCACTGAGCGCGCATCCCGCCGGCTCAGCCCTGGGCACAGGGATCAGTCAGCACTCCTGGACAGCACCCAGCCTCCCCCTCACCACGCTGCTTTCCGGCCAGGCCTGCATCCGTTCTGCCCCTTCCTATGGTGTCCCACAGACACCCGATCGGTCCCACTGTACCCGTGTCCCCACGGCTGCCCCCAGGTGCCCACAAGAGAGGCCACAGTCCTCAGGATTGGCTTGTGCTCTGGCCAAGCAGGTTCCTCCCAGGCCTGGCTCCCAGCTGTGACCCACCTCTGGAGTGCCTTCCCCATCCCTCCTCACAGGCCTTGGAGCCTGCAAAGGTTGTTTGGGTCCTTTGAGAGGAGACAGGGATAGCCATGGGGCAGTTGGAGGGTGTGGGGCAGTGGGGGGCAGGGAGATGGCGCTGGACCTTGAAGATAGGGCCAAAGAGAGGAGACTGGGAAGGCTTGAGGCTAGCACAGAGACCCGGGCAGCAATGAGGTGCTGGGATGGACAGACACAGGGACAAAGAGCAAGGGCCCAGTGTGAGACAGACAGACAAGCAACACGGGGCAAGGCACACGCAGAAGCACGGAGGAGATGAAGAAAGAGACACAAGGGCAGAGAGAGACACAGAGATCAACATGACAGGAGACAGTGATACTCAGCCTGCAAGCTCAACAGGCACGACCCCTGGGGGTGGGTGGGGTGGGGAAGGGCTCAAGCAGACATAGGAAGGAGAGAAAGAGAGATGGAGACAGAGACACACACCCAGAGATGCAGAAAGAGACAGAGAGACAAGAGAAGCTGATGCTGGAGAGATAGTCACAGAGAGGCCCCGGCGGAGAGATAACACAAAATAATAGTAAGAACCCCACACACAAAGTGCTTGAACTGTGGAGTGTGTGAGGTAGGGATTAGTTCTTAATTAAATGGCTTGGGGGGGGAAATTTAAACTAAATTTATTTTTAAAAAACGGAGCCACAGAGAGAGAGAGAAACATAGAACCCGGAAGAAAGAATGAGGCAGAGAGCGAGCAAGAGGCTCGCACACAGCTTGGGCAAGGCCAGCGAGAGAGACCCAGAACGCTACAGAGACCCTCAGGCCAGAGACCAAGTGCAAGACAACGGGGCCTATTGAGAGACAGACTCGGTGGGGAGAGACACGGGGCACAGGCCGGACACAGAGACCTACAGGGAGGGAGAGAGACCCAGCAGGCCCCCCAGCAGTGCTGTAGACAGGACAGCACGCGGAGGGTGGGTGTCCCTCGTAACCCCTTCTCGCCCGCAGTCTGGTCGCTCTGACAGCTATCGTGTTGCCACCTCTCAGGACAAGAAAGATGACAAGGGCTCGCCCAAGAAGGGGAAGGAGCGCCGGGATATGGACGACCTCAAGAAGGAAGTGGCCATGGTGAGCACCCCTCAAGCCCAGGTCTCAGAGCAGCCCGGCCCCGCCTTGCCTCTCCCAGAGCCTCAGACTCACTAGACCCCCCAAAACTCCTGTCCCTCAGACGGAGCACAAGATGTCCGTGGAGGAAGTCTGCCGGAAGTACAACACGGACTGCGTGCAGGTGCGGCCAACGCCTAGCCAGGACTGGGGGCTGGACTCCTGGGTCTGAGGGAGGAAGGGGTAGAGGCTTGGGGGTGCTAGTGAGGGGGGTGAAATGCCAAGGTTCCGGGAGGGTTCTGTGTGAGTTTTGTGTCCTCAGGGTCTGACCCACAGCAAAGCCCAGGAGATCCTGGCCCGAGATGGGCCCAATGCACTCACGCCGCCGCCCACCACCCCCGAGTGGGTCAAGTTCTGCCGCCAGCTCTTCGGGGGCTTCTCCATCCTGCTGTGGATCGGGGCCATCCTCTGCTTCCTGGCGTACGGCATCCAGGCTGGCACAGAAGACGACCCAGCTGGTGACAATGTGAGGGATACACATTCAGGGACACACACAAGCACACAGCCACATATCTCCCCAGCGTGCTACACTGCCCACAAGCCTGCTCCCCTCCCTTCTCCGACCCAGCTTTCACCACCACGCAGCCAGAGACTCAGAGTAGCAACAAGGAGACCAGTTCAGAGAGGGCAAGTGACCTGCCCAAGGTCACACAGCAGGATGAGTGAGCTGGGCTTCTGCCCCAAAGCTGGGGGGCTTCAGCGCTCTTGGAGACAGACACCGTATGTGTCTGGACCCACAGCCCAAGAGACACATAGACACCGGCCTCCACCAGTCCCCGGCCCCACTCTCCAGCTACACAGGGCACCACGGCACACCAACACAGGCGCAAAGTCAGCGGGATTTCCAACAGGCGCACCCAGGCACAGATAGACGACAGACAGACTGTCCCCCACACATACTGGCAGACAGACAGGCGCAGACACCCCGAACTCCGACATATTCAGACACAGACACACTGGTTGACGGACAGACCTGACATTGCAGACCAACAGAGAGGCGGCGTACCCCAGAGGCGCCACTAGAGGGCACACACACACACACACACACACACACCCCAACTTAATCGAGGGGGTGACGCCAAAATGACTCCAGTCGGTGGTGGCAGCGCTTCTGGAGGAGGGGCAATGCTGTCACTAGGGCTAGTGTCCCCTGTCACCTGCATCCCCAACAGTCTCCCCCCCCTACCTCCACCCTCCAGTTCGCACAAGTGCCCGCCACTGGGCGGCTGAGATGAGTGTCTCCCGCCTTAGCCAATAGGAGGGCGGCAGGAGCCTCGGGGGCGGAGCTTCAGGGCCTCCTCCGCCCTGTGTGGGCGGGGCCAGACCACTCCGCCTGCGCGGGTGTGAGGGTGCAGGGGGAATGTGCGTGACCCCCGCAAGCTTGGCGTCGCCACCCATGTACACCCAGAAGCTCAAATGCAAACTCCTAGCGACCCTGTAGGGAGGACAGGGTAGAAGAGCCGCTGTGGGTTTTCCGAGACGAACTCTGTGGTGGAGCAGAAAGCCTCATCTTTCTCCCGAGGGGCGGCTGGTGGATTCAAACTGCTGACCTTGCAGTTAGCAGCCCCACGCGCCACCCACACAAACGGACTTGTAGATGTACAGCCAGCCAGACACACGGAAGCGAAACACAGACAGACGCGGGGACAGACAATATCCTCCCCTGAGGTTCTCCCAGACACACGGACACACGCAGAGCCCAAGAGGCTGAACCGCCCCTTCCCTGAGTCCATCCTCTGGGCCCGGGCGGGCAGGGCCTGAGAGAGCGCTGTCCCCACAGCTGTACCTGGGTATCGTGCTGGCGGCCGTGGTCATCATCACTGGCTGCTTCTCCTACTACCAGGAGGCCAAGAGCTCCAAGATCATGGAGTCCTTCAAGAACATGGTGCCCCAGGTGAGGGCCATGGGAGGCTTGGGCGGGGCAGGCGGCTGTGCCCAGGGACCCCTGGAGAGAGGACGTTGCCGGAAGTGACCCTTGGCTTTCCCTCCACAGCAAGCCCTGGTGATCCGAGAAGGTGAGAAGATGCAGGTGAACGCCGAGGAGGTGGTGGTGGGAGACCTGGTGGAGATCAAGGGCGGGGACCGAGTGCCCGCTGACCTGCGCATCATCTCTGCCCACGGCTGCAAGGTGGGCCTGTGGCCCTGGGCGGCGGGGAGGGGCTGCCTCTGGTTCTCCCCCAGACAGCCTGAGGGTCCCTCCGGAGCCCCTCTGCCCTCAGACCCAGCCCAGTGGTCACGCCTCCAGTGAATGCCCTCCTCCCTCAGACCAAGATATCAGACTGCCAGCTCACTGTCCCCTCCCACCCAGGAGTCCAGCCCCCAGCCCCTCCTCCCTCAGAGGCAGGAGCCCAGGCCCCCAGCCCCTCCTCCTTCAGACCCAGGAGTCCAGCCTCCAGTGAATGCCCTCCTCCCTCAGACCAAGATATCAGACTGCCAGCTCACTGTCCCCTCCCACCCAGGAGTCCAGCCCCCAGCCCCCTCCTCCCTCAGACCCTCAGGGAATCTAGGCTCCAGCCCCTCCTCCCTCAGCCCCTCCTGGAAGTCAGACCCTGAACTCCATTCTCCTTCAGAACCCAGGGGTCCAGGCCCCCAGCCCCTCCTTCCTCCATCCTCCCAGGCAGCCTGTGACCTGCCAGTGTTAAATGGAGGCTTCAGCTGTAGGGCTGACAGGCTCTAACCAGAACTCACTCGGGGACCCATGGGGCTGTAAGGCCAGAGACCAGTAGTGTGGGTAGGCACATGGGGACACATGCAGGGGGACTGCAGGAGACACAAGTGACCAGATCCAGTCATGCCAGGCAGGGAGGGACACATACAGACACTAGTTCACACACATGCCCACACACGCAGTGACACACACACACACATGCCACGCACAGTGAGGTCCAGGAAACACTCTCATGGCTTGGGCTCAGTCTCACATGGCCAGAAACACACAGATCCCAGGTCCCCGCAGAACCTAACCCTAAACCACCACCACCGAGTCCTGGGTCAGAGTCCTTGCCCATGCACCACAAGGTCACCTGGTGCCCCACCTCAGCCCTGAAGACTGGACCCATCACACACACACACACACACACACACACACACACACACACACACAC